CATACCACATCTTCTTTATTCATTAGTTGATGAACATTTGAGCTTTTTCCAGTTTGGCTATTGTTGACAATGCTGCTATAAATATTGGGGTGCATGTACCCCTTTGAATGAGTATCTTTGTATCCTTTGGGTAAATATCAAGTAGTACAATTGCTGGATCATAGGGCAGTTCTATTTTTAATATTTTGAGGAACCTCCCTACTGTTTCCAGGGTGGCTGCACCAGTTTGCATTCCCATCAACAGTGCAAGAGGGTTCCCCTTTCTCTGCATTCTTGTCAACACCTGTTGTTTGGCTTGTTAATTTTAGTGATTCTAACACGTATGAGGTGGTATCTCATTATGGTTTTGATTGTATTTCCCTAATGATGAGTGATGTTGAGCATCTTTTCAAGTGTCTGTTAGCCATCTAGATGTCTTTTATTTATTTATTTATTTATTTATTTATTCATTCATTCATTCATTCATTCATTCAGAGAGACACACAGAGAGAGAGAGAGAGGCACAGACACAGGCAGAGGGAGAAGCAGGCTCCATGCAGGGAGCCCAACGTGGGACTCGATCCTGGGTCTCCAGGGTCACACCCTGGAGTGAAGGTGGCGCTAAACCGCTGAGCCACCCAGGCTACCCTAGATGTCTTCTTTAGAAAAATGTCTATTCATGTCTTCTGCCCATTTCTTAACTGGATTAGTTGTTTTATGGATATTGAGTTTGATAAGTTCTTTATAGATTTTGGATACTAACCCTTTATTAGATATCTCATTTGAAATATCTTCTTGAGAAATTTATACAGAGGAAAAAAAGAAGGCCAGGTTGTAAAGATAGCAAGCAACTGTAAGCTTCTCTTTGGGAAACCGTACAAGAAAGACCAGCATAATTAGATGGGGAATGATTTAAAATTAAATTTTCCCGATGTTTATAGCAGCCATGTCCACAATAGCCAAACTGTGGAAGGAGCCTCGGTGTCCATCGAAAGATGAATGGATAAAGAAGATGTGGTTTATGTATACAATGGAATATTCCTCAGCCATTAGAAATGACAAATACCCACCATTTGCTTCAACATGGATGGAACTGGAGGGTATTATGCTGAGGGAAGTAAGTCAATCGGAGAAGGACAAACAGCATATGTTCTCATTCATTTGGGGAATATAAATAATAGTGAAAGGGAATAGAAGGGAAGGGAGAAGAAATGGGTAGGAAATATCAGAAAGGGAGACAGAACATAAGACTCCTAACTCTGGGAAACAAACTAGGGGTGGTGGAAGGGGAGGAGGGCGGGGGGTGGGGGTGAGTGGGTGACGGGCACTGGGGGGGGGCACTTGACGGGATGAGCACTGGGTGTTATTCTGTATGTTGGCGAATTGAACACCAATAAAAAATAAATTTATTATTAAAAATAAATAAATTTTGTTAAAAGTCAAACATATATAAAAAAAATCTGGCAAAATCATTGTTATGTTGCTTGGCTGATCTCTCTACAGAATTTGGAAAAAAAAGTTTTAAGTGCATAGGAAAAGAAGCAATTCACTACAGGAAAACAAAGTGTAATTTAATAGAATATGCTTAGCTCAGCAGTGAACAATTTTTACTTAGTCATAGTAATATAAATATTATATACTCATTTGAGGGCAGCCCAGGTGGCTCAGCGGTTTAGTGCTGCCTTCAGCCCAGGGCATGATCCTGGAGATTCAGGATCGAGTCCCATGTCAGGCTCCCTGCATGGAGCCTCCTTCTCCCTCTGCCTGTGTCTCTCATGAATAAATAAATAAAATCTTAAAAAAAAAAAGTGTTGGACACCTAACTGACTCAGCCACCCAGGTGCCCCTTACACTGTGAACTTTTAAACAATTGTTTTCAAAGAGGATATTGCAGTCATTCTGAGAAAAGATAATGAAATCTTGAGCTAAGACTGTGTAATGGGTTTGGAAAGGAGCAGAAGACTATTGACATGTTTGGGAAATAACAAGCCTGGGAACTGAGTCGGTATGAGAGGAGAGTATAAGGGTCAAGGATGTTCCTTTTTGTTTGAGTAACTGGATAGGTGGTGGCTACCAAAAACTATATAAATAAAGAAGAATGGATTGGGAGAAGCTTAGGAAACTCCTTACAGGTGACAGGGATAATGAGTTCAATTTTGGATATTTTGAGTTATCAGATACCTCTAAGTTGACTTTAGAGGTTACTGAATTAAGATATTGATGGAAGTTAAGTCAGCAAAGTTAAGCTTAGAAGATAAAACATAGTGTACATCTCTGTTCTAAAAATTGTATTTAATGAGTGTTAAAGAAATTGAGGAATTTATTTAGGAGCTAGCAAGTGTTAGGACTGACGTGGTTTCCAGTAAAAGTTAGGATGAAGAACACATTGGGATGCTTAAAACTCATAGGGATGTTGTATCCAGTGGTAGAACTGAGAAGAGTAAGACTTTTCCATCAATTTAAAAGAAATATTTGAAAATCAGTTTATATAGGGGATGCTTAGGTAGTTCAGTTGATTGATGTCAGACTCCTGATCTTGGCTCAGGTCAGGTCTTGATCCTCACGGTTGTGAGTTCAAGGCCTGAGTTGGGCTCCATGCTCTGTGTGGAGCCTATTTAAAAAAAAAAAAATCAGTTTATGTAAGTTGGTCAAAAAATTTGGGAAATATGGGGATCCCTGGGTGGCTCAGCGGTTTAGCGCCCACCTTTGGCCCAGGATGTGATCCTAGATTCCCGGGATCGAGTCTCGCATCGGGCTCCCTGCAAGGAGCTTGCTTCTCCCTCTGCCAATGTCTCTGCCTCTCTGTTTCTCATGAATAAATAAATAAAATCTTTTTTTAAAAATGTGCATTTGGTTAATCTTTTCCTCCTCTATTCTGATGAATTCAGTTCAACGAGAGACATGATTGCCTACGTTCTAATTTGAAAACCTAAAGACCTGGTAAGTGTCATGACACAGAAGAAAATTACTAGCCTAGCCCCCAGAATCTTTATTCATTTTTGAGATACAAAAGAGTGATTTAAAGACATGACCCTAAAGCAGAAATATGAGCAAACCCCAGATAGTCCTGATGGTACAATTCTGCAAGTGAACACAACCCTGTATCTTCTCAAAGTAGATTTTATTACTCAAAAGGGCTTCCCAGTACATCTCTGATTACCATTTTCTTCTACTTTGTAATCTAAGATGGCATTGGTATAAAATAACATCTAGAAAGAAGCCAGTGAAGTAATAATGTACAAATGTATTTATAGTTCCAAGTGAAAAATAAATTTGCATTCCATACTATCATTGTCTCTCAATTAGCCAGTTGTTTTGTTAAGGAGTTGTTGATGTGGGAAACAAAGGCAGTAAAATTTTTAAATTTCCTTACCATCTACTGCCCGTTGACAAGTCCTTGAAACAGGCAGAGTGACATTTCTCTAGGGGCTTAACTGCTTCAAGGTTGATACTTTGCTAAGGACAAAAGGCAATCCTAGCCCGACCCCCAGGATCCTGTAAGTCTACTTTAACATATAAAAATTTCTTTGGAAAAAAAAAATTCCTTTGGGAAATAAATAAATAAATATTCCTTTGGAAACTTCCTTTATCTCTACTCGCACCCCCCCCCCGCCCCACCACCACCAAGATACGTGTTGGCAGTCATCCCTCAAGCATGACCCACCAATATACATCTGAAGGGGCTCACGACTGAGTTTTTGCTAGCCAGTAATACAGGACCTTTCCTGACAATAGCTGGCCTCCTCAAGATCCTGGAAACCTTGTTTCCAAAATACCTGGGAGGCTTCCACTATTCCCTTCCTGCTTCCAACTTTCAATGGGCCACTCCTCATGACCCCCGTGCAGCTCTTTCTGCTCTTTCAGGTCTTGTCCCCCTGCCCTAATAAAACCACTTTTTGTACCAACGACGTTTCAAGAATTCTTTCTTGGCCATCAGCTTCCAACCTTGACATCTTCCCTACATCATTGTGACTTGAGGAAAGAATGCTCATGTTGAGTATCTGCCTTCTGCTCATGCTCAAGTCATGACCCTGGGGTCCTGGGATCGTGTCCTGCATCAAGCTTCTTTCTTTCTTTCTTTCTTTCTTTCTTTCTTTCTTTCTTATTTATTTATTTATTTATTTATGATAGGCACATAGTGAGAGAGAGAGAGAGGCAGAGACCCAGGCAGAGGGTGAAGCAGGCTCCATGCACCGGGAGCCCGACGTGGGATTCGATCCTGGGTCTCCAGGATCGCGCCCTGGGCCAAAGGCAGGCGCCAAACCACTGCGCCACCCAGGGATCCCCTGCATCAAGCTTCTTACGGGAGCCTGCTTCTCCCTTTTCCTATGTCTCTGCCTCTGTATCTGGCGTGAATAAATAAAATCTTAAAAAAAAAAAAAGTAAAGAATGCTCAGCAGGTGAAGCTGTTGAGTATTGGTTTAGAATTGAACTTTGTGAAAACTCAGGGCAGGATCAGTAATTGTCTTCTGCCTGAGTATAAGGTCTTAAAGTCCCATGTCATCTACTGGGCAAGGGAAATGCATCAAAGGTGTGAGTTGGTAACAAGTGTCTCTAAAACATACACTAATAAAGGCAACTATTTTATTGACTGAGATGGATGGAAAAGTCCAGGAGTAACTGCTCTGGAAATGAATGATTTCTAAAGACATGCTTTAGCTTTTCAAAGAGCATCATATCTGCGTTTTTAAAAGTAATTTCATAAGGTTAAGAAGGGAAGGTGTAATCTTTATGGTTAAAGAAAATAAAGGAAAGAGGTTAGCAGCTTGTCTCTGCTTTAAGTTGCCAAGATGAGTTAAAGTTTAAGATTTAAAGAAGCTCTGCTGCACAAAAGTGCCCAAATCCACCCCCAGCTCATCCTACTCACTAACACATCTACCCATAACAAAATAGCAGAAGCAAAAGGAACACAGGCCCTCTTGGCTACTTTAATACTTCTGAGGTGCAAAGAACACCCAGAATTATCAGGAATTCCTTTCCAAAATCTATGTTGATTTACTAACTTTACATTCTTTCAACAGCTATTCCTCTTCCTTGGAGACCTTTAAAGCACACGGTTCTTAAACCTGGCTGCACATTAGGATCGCCTAGGGAGCTTTAAAAATACCAACTGCAAGCCAACTGAATCTGAATCTCTGGGGTAAGAGAGATCCAGCATAGGTAAGGACACTCACTCATCTCTGCTTTTAAAACTCCCCAGGTAATTCTAATATGTTCCAGGCCTGAGAGCCAATTAGAGCCATGGCCCTTTGTTTCTTAAAGTGTAACCCTTGGACAGATCGCATCAGCATCCTAGGAAACTTGTTAGAAATACAAATTTCTCGAGCCCTGCCCCACTTACTGAATCAGAAATTCAGGATAGTGGGGTCTGGAAATCTGTGTTTTAACAAAGTTCCAGGTGATATCAATGCATCTAAAATCTGAGTACTACTGACTCTAATTAGCTGTTTTTGAAAATTTAATGTGTATTTGAACCATCTTATGCAAATGCAGATTCTGACTCAGTATCCTTGGAGTGGTGCTTGAGATTCTACATTTTTAACAAACTCACAAGGATGCTGCCAATCTACTGACCACACTTTGAATAGCAAAGGGCAGGATACAACTTTATTTCTATGGAATTATCTAGTACATTATATAGGAAAAACAGCTATACCTCAGTTAGTCACAGGTTTATACACAGAATAGACTTTTTGTGCTAAATTTACATTTTCTTTCCATTAACACAATCAATCTGGTGAATCTGCACATTAGCTCTCTTGGTTCTTTTTTTTTTTTTTTTTAAGATTTTATTTATTCACGAGAGACACAGAGAGAGAGAAAGAGAGGCAGAGACACAGGCAGAGTGAGAAGCAGGCTCCATGCGGGGAGCCCAACGTGGGACTTGATCCCGGGTCTCCAGAATCACGCCCTGGGCTGAAGGCAGGAGCTAAACCACTGAGCCACCCAGGGATCCCCACTCTCTTGGTTCTAAGGAAAATCTTTCTGGGTTTAGTTCCCAAATTTTCTAAACTGTTTTCAAAGTCCTTCATGAAATCATTGATTTCCTAGGATTCTCCCTATAAGAATATTCCTAGAATTAAGCTAGTCTACTCCTGCAAAATGATCCAAATGTACCTCTATTCCCTTTGTTTCATCTGCCAAAATCTATTTCCAAACCCAGTTTCTATAGCAGCCTCTGCCCAGCATCCTCATTTCTCAGTCCTACAGTTATCTCTAGATTTTAATTGCGTGTACATTTACTAGCATAAATCTAAATATATCCAAGAATTATATCTAATTATACAACATTCATATAAGTACGATCTATCAGAATGCTGGTTTCCCTGGGATCACATGTATTTTGGTGGGGGGAAATCTGGCTCTTGTTGCAGATACTGAATACTAACTATTCTGCTGGTCTCCCTTATTTCTGTCTTACCTTGTTTGGTGTATAATAGAACTAAGGAGGAACACACAATTCAAGTTTGAATACATTAATCAAATGTGACACAAGTATTCTGTTTTCAGAAAAAATCCTCTTGAATATATGAAATAATTAACTTTTTAAATAGACTTTTATTGTGAAGTATAAAATATCTGGAAATGATTTAAAATTTTTTTCAGTAACAGTGTTAGTTCAATAATCTTTATGAGAGAGCACCACATTAAAAATTACATTCATAACAATCTAAAATGCGTATGCTAAAATAATTAATAGTGATTACAACATTAGCAAGTCATGAAATTCAGAGGCTTTTCTAACCATAGATCTAAATCAGGAGTTTCAAACTCAAGTGTGTTCAGGGCTAAGACGGAAACACAAAGTAGTGAAGTAGCCTGATAAAAAAGGGAGTCTAGGAGACTGGCAAACTAGGGAATGCATGCTCAGTTGAAAGACTTTTCAAATTCAAGCAAATTTTGAAATATTATGCATACTGAATAAAACAGCTGTGGGCTAAGCTGCTTTGTATTGACTGCCAGTTTGCAACTCGGGCCTAAATGATTTTTTAGCAGTTTATGTACCCAATTTTCAAATTGGCAGACAGCATTTTAAAAAATGTATCTCTATATCTATAGATATAGATATAAAGCTTGAGTCATTATTTTGGGATAAATTGATAAAAAAAACTTTAAGAAAAGTTGTTTTGTACCTTAAATTAATAAATTTAGGAAGTTGCATGCATAATATTCTTAAAAACATCTGGTTAAGAAATGAAATTTTTAAAATACTCTTTCACATTTATTTGGGAAAAAACTAGTTATGCCTAAGAGTTAATTAAAATGAGATGAAATTTCATTCTTTTACTAATAGAAAGTCCTATATCACAGTACATTATTGCTTAGTAAGAAATATTTAGGTGAAAAATAAATATTGGTTTTACTAAGGCGTAATTCAGAAAGCAATTCAATCATATTGCCTCACTATATACTAAGAAAATGTTTGAAATTCAGTTGACAAAGCATTTTGCTTTATCTTTAAAGGGTATTTTGTTTGAGAATTTTCGTACATTTTATACTTTCGGTTAAAAGTAAAGGTTCTAGTCTGAAGATATAAAATTACTATAGACCAAATGGCTGTAACCAAATTGATTTGGTTTGCTATGTCAAAGCAGGTTTACAGAATTTACAGTTTTGTATACCACCAATGACTTCACATTAGTGACTTTTAAATAGCTTTTAAAAGTAAAGATGATGGAGACATTAAAGTGATAAATAAAATCTTTTAAATGGCTATGAAGGCACAATATAATTTAAGGTTCCTTGCTAGACCAGGAATACATATTTCAAAATAATCCATAAACAATACATATTTCAAACAAATAAAATTCAAATATATTTATTCCAAACCTTGATACAATTCCCAAAAATATTTTCTACCTTTTTCAAACATTTTAGATATTAGTTTTAGAAGTTTAACATAAAAAGAAAGCACCAAATCTAGCCATATAATCTCCCACTTAAAAAAGTTAGTAGTTATGGTATCTTTTTCTGTAAAGTAAAGTTCTATGGAACAAATAAATTTCATGTGGCCTTTAATTTCTGAAATGAAAAAGCCAAACCTGTTAAATATATCTACCTAAAGTTAGATGTTTAGCAAACCCAGAGTAGGTATATAAGAAATGTTAAGACACAGTATCAAGTAATGCAATAGGTGTTCCCTTATTTGCATTTTTCATGAATTAAAACTTAAGTAGGGGAAATATGTTTGGCATCATTTTTTAACCTAGTATTTGGGAAAGTTTTAAAGTCCAGCCAAGTCATATGCATCTTATCTGCATTCCCACATTTGTTTTATATTAAAACCACTTAAGTATGAAGCAATTGGGATTTTTTAGAATTCAAAGTTAACACTGATTTTATACATCATTAAGTATTTCCATGGCAGAAATTAAAGTTGAAGATAAGAAAAAACATGTTCTCAAATCAAGTCAATAGTAGAACTATCATATAAGGGTATAGAATACATGCTGATGTATTACACACTTAGTTTAAGTAGTTCTTTAAAAACCAATAAGTTTTCTATGAATAAATTTAATTAATAAATTATTCACAATTAAAAATATAGTTTTCATAAATAGTAACAACAGACTAGATATTGCATATATGGGATTCCCACAAAAACAATAACAAAATACTTCAACATTATTTTATCCAAATATTGGTTTACGATTATTCAAATATATTTAAAGAGCATTGTTGACTGATCATAACAATGAGTTCCAGACTAAATTGATAGCAATTAGATATTGTGCTGTCCGCTTGTTCTTCGTATCATCAAAGGATGAAATTCCTTTTATAAGAAACATGATGGCCATACTGGCTACATATAGTGATCCAATTAGTTAGCATATTTATGGAGGAAGCGTTCAAATGCATCATAGATGGCTCGTCTAAAATTAAATATGAAAGAAAAACTATAAGTAATAAGCATAGAAAGAAGACAGTACTTTTTTCAAAAAAGATTTATTTATTGGACAGAAAGAGAGTGTATGTGTGGGACCACAAGCAGAGGGGGCAGAAGGAGAAGCAGACTCCTCGCTGAGCAAGGAACCCAAAATAGGGCTCAATTCCAGGAGTTTGGGATCATGGCAGACACTTACCGACTGAGCCACCTAACTTGCTCAGATAGTACTTTTACTGTAAATTATTTCCAAAGTTACCTGTGACTTGCAACCTAACTTCATCTCCAAATAGCTCTGAAAGAGGCAGGTACCTAAGGGTGGGTGTTTGGATCCATGTAACTTTACTGCTGATAAAAAACCTCAAAAGTGCTTTCAGCTGATGGTGTATTCAGAAGCATTTTTTTTGTGCCTTAGAACTTATATATTTATGTATTTATATAATATATATGCAATATAAATATGTATGTCACTTGTTGAATATTATTTTTTTAAGTTTTTATTTATTTATTGAGAGATCCAGAGAGAGAGGCAGAGACACAGGCAGAGAGAGGAGGAGGCTCCACGCAAGGAACCCAATGCGGGACTCGATCCCGGGTCTCCAGGGTCACGCCCTGAGCAGAAGGCAGGCGCTAAACCGCTGAGCCACCCAGGGATCCCCAACTTGTTGAATATTAATTGGCCACATAACTTTTCTTTTTCCTTTTTAAAAAATTTATTTATTCATGACAGACACAGAGAGAGAGAGGCAGAGACACAGGCAGCCTCCGTGCAGGGAGCCCAACGTGGGACTCGATCCCGGGTCTCCAGGATCACACCCCGGGCTGAAGGTGGCGCTAAACCACTGAGCCACCTGGGCTGCCCCACATAACTTTTCATAATGTAGTATTCAACCTATTTTATAAATTATGATAAGGATGCTTTTTGTTCAGAAAAACACATGTTCTTAGCAACTGAACTAAAAGCAAAAGCCTTAGTTTCCAATTTTACCTTCATAAAGTGTTTTAATGGGATGCCTGAGTGGCTCAGCAGTTGAGTGCCTGCTGTCAGCCCAGGGTGTGATCCTGGAGTCCCAGGATGGAGTCCCACATAGGTTCCCTGCATGGAGCCTGTTTCTCCCTCTGCCTATGTCTCTGACTCTCTTTCTGGGTCTCTCACGAATAAATAAATAAATAAAATCTAAAAAAAAAAAAAGTGTTTTAATATTTTAATTGGACATTTAAGGTGATATCTAAGAGTTGAACTAAATTAGTGACAACATACAAATAATTATTTCTTGGATTAAAAAGAGGTGAAATATGTCAAACATATAGTACACACAATTCTTCTATTATATAGCTGTGCAACTGGCAGTTTTGAAACACATCATGCACAGGGCACTAATTTAAGTACTTTATGTGAACTTATTTAACCACTAATGATTAATATAGCTCAATGATACCTTTTGCCATCAAATTTGAATAGAAGTAGAAATAATATGGCCTATCAAAAAAATGGAGTCATAGAATAAGTTTTTATAACTTCTAATAAGTGCTAGAGTCATACAAGGTTATTAGCATTAAAACCAATATTTCACTTCTCATTTAAGGTTCAATATTCACATGCTATTAAAAAACAGTGCTGGATTTTTCTACAGATGCTCATGCCATTCTGAGAGAAGAAAGTGGAATGAAAAACTCATGATGAACCAAAGCAAGTTTTAAAACCCTGGTGTTCCTCCCTATATCCTAAAATACCTGGATATTAATATTTGAAGAGGATAGAAACACAAATAAAATATGCCTATCATATGCTGCTTCCCTAATTCTTTAAAGAAAAAGGAGAAGAAGAGGATGGGATAGGAAAGAGTACCACAATGTGATAACTGAGGGAGGCAGGGAGAAAAAAGACTAAACGTACAATAAAAATACTTGATCGTCTATATTTTTTGAGGCAAAAAAATTCCAAAAACTGAGAAAATAAATAGATACCTGTTTGGACCAATCATCTTACCTGAAGAGTCCTTGTTTAAACAGATAAGCACTAATATGACCCCCTTCTAGATATCGGATTTCACAACCGGGCCAAATTTCTTGTAGACTTCGAACTCCTGTTCGTGGAATATAAGCATCTTCTTTGGCTTGAACCACTATAATAAGGCTTGGATCAACTGGAACTTGGGATAGAATTTTAAAAGATGCAACATATATATATACTTTTAAAAAGCTCTAAGACTTTTGTACAAATAATATTAATCATATTAGAAAATGAAATACACCTGACAGCACACTAAGCAAAACATCTGTCAAACCTTTTAATTTTTTTAATTTTTATTTCTTTTTATTCTTTTAAAGATTTTATTTATTTATTCATGACAGACACAGCGAGAGAGAGTGGCAGAGACACAGGCAGAGGGAGAAGCAGGCTCCATGCAGGGAGCCTGACGTGGGACTCGATCCCAGATCTCCAGGATCATACCCTGGGCGGCACCAAACTGCTGAGCCATAAGGGCTGCCCCAAACAAACTTTTTTAAAAAAGATTTATTTATTTACTTATTTATTTGAGAGAGAGAGGGAGCGAGAGCACATGTACTAGCAACTGAGCTAGTGGGAGAAGAGGCAGAGGGAAAAGCAGACTCCCCTTTGAGCGGAGCCTGATGTGGGGCTCGATCCCAGGACCCTGCGATCCACAACCTGAACTGAAGGCAGCTGCTTAACCAACTGAGCTATCCAGATACCCCTAAAAATTTTTGATTAAGTTTAAAATCAACTATAATATATCATAATACCATAACATTTATCTCTAATACAATGAGATGAATACTTTTAAGAAGATACACAATCTAATATATTTTTAATTAATTAGATGTTTTTAGATTTTCTTTTTTTTTTTTTAAGATTTCTTTATTTATTTATGATAGACATAGAGAAAGAGAGGCAGAGACAGGAGGAGGGAGAAGCAGGCTCCATGCCGGGAGCCCGACGTGGGACTCGATCCTGGGACTCCAGGATCGTGCCCTGGGCCAAAGGCAGGTGCTAAACCGCTGAGCCACCCAGGGATCCCCTGTTTTTAGATTTTCATGGATAAAATATGATACAGTTAAATAGCCAACTTATTCTGGAAAATACATTCTAGAGCCAACAATAGACATACTCTTGAAAATAGGAAATTACTTTGTAAAGCAACCTTAAAAATATTTCAAAAGTTTTTATACATCAGCATTTTTAATTTCAATATAAAAATTGGTACCTGAGAAATTTGCCACATGAGTACATTCATCCATGACTCCTTTCATGAATATTAAAGATTCTTTCTGAAGATTGTTTCTTCTTTGTTCTTTACTAAGTAGGTGATATGACTGTGAATTGCAACTTGTATAATTACTTTTGTTGGTTGGAAGTGTTTGATTGAAGGATTCCATCTTAGAGGTGTCTTGCAGTAAGAGTCCTTCTGATGTGGCACTGATAGATGTTTTACTAGATTTATGGCACTCACTAGGTTTTTGGGATACAACTTGGTCTGTCATATCTAAATTTAAAGTTCTAGAAACCAGATTAAGGTTAGTTAGCTTGTCTGTGCTGATAGGGAAGCGTTTCACAAACTCTTGTCCCATTTTGAAAGAATCTGTCTGAATATACAAAAGAAAACATCATTTAGTATAAAATACATTTTATTTAAGAACCTTGTTAAAGACAAAACACAAATGTCCACCAATGGATAAATGAATAAATAAAATGTAGTACATACATACAATGGATTATCATATAATCTTAAAAGGGAATGAAACTCTGAAACATACTATGACATGGACGAACTTTGAAGACATGCTAAATGAATAAGCCAGACACCAAGGACAAATACTGTATGATTCCAACTTTTATAAGATACCTAGAGTAGTCAAAATCATAGAGACAGAGAGTTGAGTGGGAATTACCAGGGGCTGAAAGGAGGGGGCAACAAAGAGTTACTGTTTAATGGGTACAGGATTTCAGTTTAGTAAAATGAAAAAGTTCTGGAGATGGACTGTGGTGATGATGTACAGGGGTGATGGTTGCACAACAATGTGAATGCACTTAATAACATCGTGGAGCTGTATGCCTAAAAATGGTTGAAACAGTAAATTTTATGTTGCATATATTTTATTACAACTTAAAAAATAAAGAAAAAAGAGATATCAAGATTATTCTGAGGACTAGGATAAATAAATGACATACTATATTGCTGAATGTCTCCTATTAAACAGTAAAGGGTATCATTTAGTCTGCATCACATTTTTATTGCTAAGGTTTTGAAATCATGACCTGCCTTAATCTCAGAACTTCCAAAAGCCTTATAAGTGTATCCTGGCAGTAACATATCAGCCACCTCAAATCCCTTTCTCAGGTTAAATGAAGAAGAATTAGAAATTATCAAGGAAAAAAGAACACCTATTAAAATCTCAAAAGTATGTACTCAGTTTAAGGAGTTGTAAGTACAACATAATTTAAGTAAAGATAAACTTTGTTAGGGACTCCTGGGTGGCTCAGTGGTTGAGCGTCTGCCTTTGGCTCAGGGTGTGATTCCAGAGTCCCAGGATCGAGTGCCACTTAGGGCTCCCTGAATGGAGCCTGCTTCTCCCTCTGCCTGTGTTTCTGCCTCTCTCTCTGGGTCTCTCATGAATAAATAAATAAAATTTAAAAAATAAAATAAAAAAATAAACGTTTTTAAATACTAAGGGCAGAGTCAAAAGAAAAAAAATGACAACCTCAGAAAATATATTTGCAACTTATATGACAAAGAGCTAATTTGCTTTATTAAGAGCTAGAAGTGAATACAAAGCTCAAAACCACAATAGAAAAAGTGAGTAAAAAAAAAAAGTGAGCAAAGGACATGCACATAAAAGTCACCGACAGGGATCCCTGGGTGGCGCAGTGGTTTGGCGCCTGCCTGTGGCCCAGGGCGCGATCCTGGAGACCCGGGATCGAATCCCACATCGGGCTCCTTGCATGGAGCCTGCTTCTCCCTCTGCCTGTGTCTCTGCCTCTCTCTCCCTCTCTCTCTCTATCATAAATAAATAAATTAAAAAAAAAAGTCACCGACAATGAAATACAAACAGCTCTTAAATTTAGAAACATATTCAATTTCACTTATAATTAAATAATTAAATAAAAACAATACCAATTTTCACCTCAGGTTAACAAAAAACAAAACTTTTAAGTTTGCTAACACACTAAATTTGTGAAATTATGAGGAAACATAAACATGTTCCTATTGGTAGTATAAACTGACATGACTAGAATCAGATAAAATCTAACCACATTACAAGTGCAACATTTCTAGGAATTTATACGTCTTATGAAATGACATATGTACAAATTTCTTCATTGTAGCACTGTTTATTACTGGTGAAAAATGAGAAACATCAACAGGGTACTAGTTAATAAGTCATGGAACATCCATCCACATGACTGATTTTTATGCAGCAGTAAAAAAGGAAAAGGAAACATTTGTGTATAAAAGAAAAGGTAAGAAAAAAGTTCATATTTCTATTGGTTTGAAAAATTCCTTTAAATACTAATAAACAGCGGGTTATTTATTGAGGGAGATAAGAACTACACAAATTGGGAATAAGGGTAGGACTTGTTTAATTGTATGTCTTTTTATACTTCATGATGTTTCAACTATATGATCATACAATCTCCTTCAAAAATTAAAGAATGAAAAATTGGTTGAAAGCAAGAAAAAAACCAAACCCAACAACATGGCTCACAGAACAAATCACTAAAGTCATCCAGACCAAAGAAATGTAAAAGGGAAAGGAAGTTTAGAAACATTGAGAAATGTAAGATCAAGCACCTCAGAATTACTCAGAGTGGTACACCAACAACTTTATTTATTTATTTATTTTAAAGATTTATTTATTTATGATAGACACACACAGAGAGAGAGAGAGAGGCAGAGACACAGGCAGAGGGAGAAGCAGGCTCCATGCCGGGAGCCCGACGCGGGACTCGATCCTGGGACTCCAGGATCGCGCCCTGGGCCAAAGGCAGGTGCCAAACCGCTGAGCCACCCAGGGATTCCCCATCAACAACTTTAACTGCTTTTGACTGGAAAACAGTTTTAAAAAGAAGGAATAAAGAATAAAAGAATAAAAAAGAAGGAAGCCATCTTGAATTCCTTGACTATGCATTACTGTGAACTAGTTCCGACACAAAAAAAACTTGTATACAACTACCAAGAGTCAGAGGCACAAGAAAGTGCCGGGTAAGACCACACTGCCATTTTAGACAACCAAATTTTTTATTCTCTCTTTAAAAAGATTTTCATATTGAGTTTTCTCATAATTCTCAAATATAGGCATCTTTTTGATTATGAGGACACAAGGAACTAACTAGCAGGTAGAGGTATTTTGTAACCAAGTACTTAGGCAAGTAATTACCTTTTGAGGTTATACAAGATAGACTTTACAAGAATGAGATTTATAGTAGTATAATTATAAAAAGTCCTAAGAGTAGAGATTCTCTTTTTCTTTCTGAGATTTCTTGAGATTCTCAGTAACTTCCAAACTGAATGTGTAAAATTTAAAAATTCATAAAAGAAACAAAATTCATGAAAGGATTGACCAATCACCTTAGGAGACCAACCGGGAACCAATACATTATCCTGAAAACTGGTAAATTAAGGGAAGAATCAAATATTTATCCTGCCTTTCCTATATGAACTAAACTACTAGGTAACCAAATAATAGATAAGTGCCTTTTTATACAAGCGTTCAAACTAATAAATACAAAAGTATCAGCATTTTGCAGCCCTCCACTAATTAATAGACATAGCATTAAACATCAATGGAGGCTTACACCACAAAATAGAGACAACCAGACATTATGTGCTTCCTATACTCCTACCAAAGAAATAAAAACTGAATTTAATTGAGCTTTGAGACCCAGCTGCCAACTTCAGGCAATATAGAGCATGGGTGAACATGCTAAACTGTACCATGAGAATGCAATAAAAAACAGCTAGACTGTGAGAAACTCCACATGTAAATAACCTAAATTCTTCAATAGATAAATTATAAGGAAAAGGAAAAGAAGTGAATTTACAGATTAAAAGATACTGAAAAGCACATCAAATAAAAGAATTGTAGTGTCTAAGGATACACATTTGGACAATATAATTATTTTAAAGGTAGAAACAAGTAATTACTATAAAAATCAGGATAATGATAAATACTGGGGGAGAAGGGCTTTTTAATTAGGACACATGGAAGTGGTTTCTGAGTTAGGTGTTCAATTTCTGTTCCATTGTTCTAAGCCATACATTTGCATTACATGACTTTTTATATCTGTATTTTATTTTAAAATGAAGAATCTTAGAAACTAAAAAATAGTACTGCTTTTTTTAAACAAATTCGTGATTCTTTTTAAAAATTTTAATCATTAAACATAATCAACATTTCCCCCCATGTTATGCAGATTAAAAATACTTACTCCACAATATTCAAGCATGTGAATAATTTCTTCTTCATAAACTGTCTGTGTATAATACTGCTTTTCCAGCTCTCTCCAATTAATTGATTTACTCAGCACACCCTGAAATAACAAACTAAGTTAAGAACAAATTAGGCCATAAAACATTTTGTCCAATAATTTTATTATTAGTGTGCAGAAAAGAGTAAACATAGCAGGCTTGAAATTTCCTATCTTTAGAAAGTCCTGCTTGCAATGTTAGCCCTTGATAAGAGTCTGGAAACTTAACTAATAAACATTTCCTCACCCCAATATACATCTTCTAAATGATAAAGTGGGTCACTGCGCCTAAACTGCTTCTACCATGTAGTTTCTGCTGAACATGTACTTTCCATCTGGAATTTTGGTACATGTGAGACAGAGGGTGCCTAAGTGACTGACCCCTGAAACTCTGGACTGCCAGGAGCAATTGAGCTTCACTGATGGACATTTTGCACATACTATCACAACCCACTGCTGGATGAATTAAATACATCTTGTGAGATTCCAATGGGAGGTTGTGTTTGATTTCCTCTGGACTTTGCCCCATGTGCCTTTTCCCTTTGCTGATTCTGTATTGTATCCTTTTGATATAATAAGTCTTAGTCATGAGTAAGATTCTATGGCAAGTCCTGTGATTCCTTTTAAAGAATCACCAAACCTGGAGGTGGTTTTGGGAACCCCCAAAACAATTACCTTTAATTATATATACCTATCGAAATAGTAATTGCAATTAAATTACCGTAGTGAAGACCCCAGATGCTGTGGACCAAGACAAACATGGAATCAACGGCATGGGCTTAGGCCAGTTGGATACTGCTAAGGAAGCCATCTGCAATACGTTTATGAGTCAGTTAGAGAGCTTCTGTTTAAATTTCTATTCATTAAAATGAAAAGTATTTAATATTAAGCAGTAGTCTGGGTGGTAAATGGTGAGATAAGACATGAACACAAAATCTCTAAATACTTGGGGCACCTGGCTGGCTCAGTTGGTAGAACATGGAACCATTGATCTTGGGGTTGTAAGTTTGAGCCTCACAGTGGGTACAGAGATTACTTAAAAATAAAATCTTAAAAAAAAATCTCTCTAAATACTTATGAGAATGTCTAGTGACCTTCCTCTTAAACTCCCCAAATCATAAATTCAATAACAACATATAACTTCCCTCTTAGAAAATAATACAGTATATTGGAAAATTTTAAGTAATCTCAAGACCCTTCCCAGAGAACTACTTTCCTCGGGGTAAATATAGAGCAAATATGCTGAAATGTAGATGCTAGGCAGCAGGTTAATCATATTCATTACTGAAACGACTTGCTCAGGTACAGCAAAATCACAACATAGCATAAAATCTCAGACCTTTGAGGCTGACTGAACTACAAAGCAGATTATCTAACTGATATAAAGTAATGTAGTGTGTATGTTTAGAGAAGGGAAAAGTTACTTTTGTCTAGAGGAATCAGAGAAGGCTTCATGAAATGGCTTTTAGAGGAAATGAAAGATGAGATCTTGTCTTCCATATAAAAAAAGACAGTATGATCAAAGGCAATATGGTGAAAAAGTGCAAAGACAGGTAGGAAAACAGCCAATATACTTTAGTTTGGCTGGACAATTGGGACACATGTGGCCAATGGAGGGGGAGATAGTCAGGTTTGGAAGGATTGAATGGTATCAATCTTGGAGGTCCCTTTTGCTCTGTATATAATGGGGAACTAATAAAGAGGTCTGAGCAAAGGAGTGGTGACATTGTCAAGTGATACAAGGAAGCTAGAATGATAGTAGTTTACAGGATTGATTAGAGAGGGTAAGACCTGAGGTAGGAAAACCAGTATAGGAAGTAATTCAGGTGAAAGTTTTAAGACTCCAATCTAGGTCATAACAATGGAAACACTAGTAAGTTTATTTATTTATTTATTTATTTTTTATTATTTACTTATGATAGTCACAGAGAGAGAGAGGCAGAGACACAGGCAGAGGGAGAAGCAGGCTCCATGCACCGGGAGCCCGATGTGGGATTCGATCCCGGGTCTCCAGGATCATGCCCTGAGCCAAAGACAGGCGCCAAACCGCTGCGCCATCCAGGGATCCCACTACTAGGTTTAAAAAAAAAAAAATCCTTTTCTACCCTTCAAGTTCACTAATAATTTTTTTAAATTTTAATCAGTTTTTGAATATATATATATAGTTGTTGTTTCTTTTTAAATGTATTGAGTGGCTATATGGCCAGATAACAAACTAGAGCATATTATGAGCCCTTCCTGAACCTACTGCTTCATGGAGAAAACAAATTGCTAGACAAGTAATCACTGCAGTGAAATAAGTACTAATGAGAGATGAAGTACACTCTGGAGTTAGGATGGGAGTCAGGAAGAGCTTCTCATAGGAAGTAAGCTCTAGACTGGAACCAGAAGGGCAAACTGTGACTTGGCTAGGAATGACGAGGCCCCTGAGGGATGTCAGCATCTGGCATAGCTAGAGCCCAGGGCAATAGCAAGCCTTTGGCAGGTTTTAAGTAGGAGAGAACAGAGATGAGATTTAGGAAAATCACTCTAGTTATGTTATGGAGAAAAACTTAGAAGAAGATTAATGAGAGAAAAAGACAAGAGACAGAGAAACCAATTGGGAGGCCATCTGAGTACACTCTAGAAGACAAAGGTAAAACAAGTTGGTGACACTGGGGATAGAGATAAGATATAAATGAAAAGAATTTTCCAAATTCACTATCTTCACCAATTTAACAGCAAAATAAGGCATTTATACTTGAGATGTGAGAAGTTTTATGAAAAATCAACTTTTAATAAAATATTAAATCAATACCTGAGCTATAACTGTGAAGTAATACAATGTCTCCTTAAATCATACCAAAAAAATCATTATAATTGGAACAAAAATTTGAAACCGGTTTCTGCTTTTACCAAAACTAAAATTAATTCCATACCTCAAGTGAATTTTTAAAATAACTACATTCTCTAAATCTTATGAACATAACCATAATTAAATATCAGTTGAAATTAAAAGGCTTACATGTCCTCCCATGGATATTCCGGTCATTCCTAGAGGTCCATAACCCTCTCTCTCTAGCCAGTGCAAGAGAGCTGTAGATTCTAAAACAAGAGCTCCTCCCATCACAAAAAGGTCAGACACGTTTTTTAAGCTGGACCTTCTAGCCTCACAAGACAAAAGAGAAAATTACTTATGTATTTACATTTTAACATATGCAGATTTCAACAGGCAGCAAGATTTCATGTTTTTTTTTTCATGTTTTTCTTTTAAAGGACCAGATAGCTGAGTAAAACAATGAATAAATTGATGGAATTAGAGTGCTAACATTCTACAGTTAATTAAAACTTATTTTTAAAGCTATATCTGCCCTTTACTGAATCTTGATTGAATTTCAATTATTTAACTATTTTTGAAGCCCAGGAATAGTATCTATTCTTATTACTTCTAAAATCTTAAATATGTTGCTTATTTTCACAAAATACACAATTTATTAATATAATCAACTGGAAAATTTTGATTGTTTTTTAAAGATTTTATTTATTCATTCATGAGAATACACAGAGAGGAGAGAGAGAGAGAGGCAGGGACACAGGCAGAGGGAGAAGCAGGCTCCATGCAGGGAGCCTGACGTGGGACTCAATCCCGGGTCTCCAGGATCACGCCCTGGGCTGCAGGCGGCGCTAAACCACTGAGCCACCAGGGCTGCCCGAAAATTTTGATTTTTTAATTGTACAATTAACATGTTATTATCAGGGATCCCTGGGTGGCGCAGCGGTTTGGCGCCTGCCTTTGGCCCAGGGCGCGATCCTGGAGACCCGGGATCGAGTCCCACATCGGGCTCCCGGTGCATGGAGCCTGCTTCTCCTTCTGCCTGTGTCTCTGCCTCTCTCTCCCTCTGTGTGTGGCTATCATAAATAAATAAATGTTTAAAAAAAAAAAAAACATGTTATTATCAGTTTCAGCTGTATACATATATATGTATATAGACATACTCATTACTCAGTGCTCACCATGGTAATTGTAGTTACTGGCACTATATACAAGGTTATTAAAATGTTCTTGACTATATTCCCTATTGGTGTACTTTTCATCTCTATGACTTATTTATTTTATAATTAAAAGTTGGTTGGAAAAGTAATTTTTTATAAAAATACATATTTTGATTAACTTAAAGGCCAATTCAACTAGAATTTTCTGTCTTTAGAAATTAATTTTACATATAAGTACATTTCCTCAGAAGCAGCACTTACATAGATCTTTTTAGATACCAGAACCATTCTTATACAGACATACTTCATTTTATTGCACTTTTGAGATATTGTATTCCTTAGAAATTGAAGGTTTATGGCAACCCTGTGTCAATTAAGTGTACTGGTGCTATTTATTCAACAGCATTTGCTAACTTGATGTCTCAGTCACATTTTAGTAATTTTAAAACTTTTTTGTTATTGTATTTGTTATGGTGATCTGTGATGTTATAGTTGTAGTTGTTTTGGGGCACCATGGAACTGCAAACTTAATGGACAAATGTGATGTGTGTTCTGATTGCTCCCTTGACTGGCTGTTCACCTCCATCTCTCTCCCACCGTCCTATTCTCCAAAGACATAACCACCTTGAATGTAGGCTAGTTAATATCCCTACAATGGCTTCTGTGAGCAAGTGAAAAGGGGAGTCACATGTCTCTCACTTTAAATCAAAAGCTAGAGGGCCACCTGAGTGGTTTAGTCAGTAGAGCATGTGACTCTTGATCTTAAGATTTTAAGTTCGAGCCCTATGTTGAGTATTGAGATTACTTAAAATCTTAAAAATAAATAAACAAAAAAACAAATAAATAGAAATCAATTTTAGTATATGTGCTGCCGAAGCGAGCACTAAATAGAAATCAAAAGCTAGAAATGATCAAACTCAGTAAGCAAGGGATATCAAAACCTAAGATAGCCCTCATGCTGCAGTTAGCCAAGCTGTGAATGTAAAGGAAAAGTTCTTGAAGAAAATTAAAAGTACCACTCCAATGAACATACAAAATAGAAAACAAAATAGTCTCCTTGCCAATGTGGAGATAGTTTTACTGGTCTGGATAGAAAATCAAAACAGCCAGAATATTCCCTTAAGCCAAAGCCTATTCCAGAGGAAGGCCCTACCTCTCTTCAATTCTTTGAAGGCTGAGGAGGTGAAGATGCTGAAGAACAATTTGAAGCTAAAAGAGGTTGGTTCAAGAGGTTTAAGAAAGAAAGCCATTGGGGCACCTGTGTGGCTCAGTGGTTAAGCGATTAATTTGATTTCAGCTCAGGTCATGATATCTGGGTCATGAGATTGAGCCCCACTTCAGGCTCCAGGCTCAGTGGGGAGTCTGCTTGAGATTCTCTCTCTCTCCTTCTGCTCCTCTCCCAACTCTCACACACACACTCTCTCTCTAAAATAAAATAAATCTTAAAAAGAAGGAAGGAAGCCATCTCTATAACATAAAGTGCAAGGTGAAGAAGTGCATGCTGATGTGGAAGCTATAACAAGTTATCCAGAAGATCTAGCTGATATAAATAATGAGGGCGACTACACTAAACAGATTTTCTTTTTTTCTTTTTCCTTTTTCTTTTCTTTTCTTTTTTTTTTCTTTTTGCCATCTAGGACTTTCAGAGCTGGAGAGGAGATATCCATGCCTGGCTTCAAAACTTCAAAGAAGGGGCTGACTGTCTTGTTAGAGGCTAATGCAGCTGGTGTCATTAAGTAGAAGCCAGGACTCATTTACCATTTCAAAAATCCTAGGGCTCCTAGTTATTATGCTAAATCTACTATTTCTTGTTATATGAATGGAACAACAAAGCTTAGATGACAGTGTATCTCTTGACAACACGGTTTACGAAATATTTCAAGACCACTGTTGAGACTAACAGCTCAGAAAAAAATTCCTACTACATTGACAATGCATCTAGTTACCCAAGAGCTCTATTGGGGAGTACAACAAGATTAATGTTTTCAGGCCTGCTAATGCAACATTCATTCTATAGCGCATGGATCAAGGAATAATTTTGACTCTCAAGTCTTATTATTTAAGAACTACATTTCATAAGGCTATAGCTACTATAGATAATGATTTCTCTGATGGATTTGGGCAAAGCTAATTAAAAACCTTGTGGAAAGGGATCACCATTCTAGACGCCAGTAAGGTCACTTGTGATTCATGAAAAGAGGTCAACATATCAATATTCACAGGAGTTTGGAAGAATCGGATTCCAACCCTCATGGATGACTTTGTGGAGTAACTGTAGATGTGGTAGAAATAGCAAAGGAACTAGAATTAGAAGTAAAGCCTGATGATGAGACTGAATTGCTACAATCTCATGATAAACCTTTAATGGACGAGGAATTGCTTCTAATGGTTGAACAAAAAAATGCTTTCTTGAGATGGAATCTAAACTTGGTAAAGATGCTATGAAAAATTGCTGAGTGACAACAAAGGATTTAAAATATTACATAAACTTAGTTGATAAATCAGTGGCAGGGTTTGAAAGGATGGACTCCAATTTTGAAAGTTCTGTTGAAGGTAAAATGCTATGAAACAGCATCCCATGCTTTAAAGAAATTGTGAAAGGAAGAGTAAATTGATGTGGCAAACTTTGTTATTGTTTTAAGAAATTATCACAGCCACCACCACTCCTGATCACTCAGTAGCCATCAACATTGAGGTAAGACCCTCCACCAGCAGAGATTATGACACTGAAAGCTCTGATAATGGTTAGCATTTTTAAGCAATAAAGCTTTTTATTTCATTTTATTTTATTGAAGTATAGTTGACACACGATGTTCCATTAATTTCAGGTGTACAACATAGTGAGTTGACAAGTCTTTATGTTATGCTATGCTCACCACAACTGTACCTATCATCTGTCGCCTTATACAATATTATAATACCATTGACTATATTCTCTATGCTGTACCTTTTATTCCTGTGACTTCTTCATTCCATAACTGGAAGCAATAAAAAATACATTTTTAAAGATCTATTTATTTATTTTAGTGAGAGAGAGGTGGGGGGCAGAAGGAGATGAGGAGAAGCAGATTCCCAGCTGAACAGGGAACCCAACACGGGGCTTGATCCCATGACGCTGAGATTATGACCCAAGCTGAAATCAAGAGTTGGATGCTCAAATGACTGAGCCACCTAGGCGCCTCAGCAATAAAATATTTTAAAATTAAGGTATGTATTTTTGTTTAGAAATAATGCTATTGTACATTTAGACTATAGTATAAACATAATTTTTATATGCACTGGAAACCAAAAAAAAAATTAAGTTGCTTTATTGCAATATTCCCTTTATTGCAGTGGTCTGGAACTGAACCCACAATATCTCCAAGGTATGCCTGTATAGTGATAAAAGACAATACTATCTTATTACTAAAGCGTCCAAGTTAGAATCTATTTTCAAAATTTAGTTCACATAAAGACATTACATAGTTGGCTACTGGATGAAACCTTGTCAAGATGTACAAAAATTCATTTTATCAATGGTTGTTTATTATGTGTATATGTAGAGTGGTTCTGCACAAAGAACCAGGTGCCTGCCATAGGAATGCCAAGTTGTGAAAAACAGAATTCTGGCCCCGAAAGAGCTTATATCTATCCACTGTCCTACCACATCCTCCTCTCAGAGCTCTAAGTCCATAAGGCAGAATTTCTCTTTATGGAAACTCTGTCAAAACAGATCATACATGTGCTTCCTCATAAAAGAGCTCATTATCCTTATATTTGTTTCCTATCCTCATTCCAATTATCTATTTATAATCGCATAATTTCCCTGATTGTTTTGGCCTGGTATGGAACTTTGAATTCTCAGGTATACCTCAGTTTGCTCTTATATATAAGTTACTGAGGTGGGGTTCTGGGACAGTGGTTATTTCTAACAGTGGACCCAGTCTCAAAATCTTTAAGAACTTTTGATGAAAACAGGCATAAGAGGTCTTTTAAAAAGTCAGATAAAAATAATTGTTTATTATTTAAATTACAAGCCATTTCCTATGATGAATTATTTGAAAAACTCAAATATATTGGTGTATTATATCTCTTGGATATATGATATATAATAGTATATTTTATAAACATGATTCTTACATCAATTCTGTGTGGAAGAAACTATATAGTATTTCTACTTTATAAATGAGGTAACAAATACTCAGACCAATATCAATTATTAAATGGCAAGTTATGATTGTAACCTATGTCTGTGTGACTTAGTCAAAGTCAATCTTTCTGTTAAAACCATGTTGCCTCTAATTATAACCCAATAAACTCTTTTGGGTTTTTAAGCACCAATAGACAGGGTAAAAATGACACACCTAATTCTGAATTCAGAGCTCAGTTCCTGAATAAGAATTCTTTAACTATTTAGCTTGGACATTAATTTTCAGATTTCACAAAGTTTATTCATATATGTATATTTATATATAGATATAAATGTATATATATGAAAAAATACATTTATACATTAAAAAAAAAAGTAGCCTCCAAGCCTAGATGGAGCCTAATGTGGGGCTTGAATTCACAACCTTGAGAGCAAGACCAGCTGAGATCAAGAGTCAGATCCTTAACCGACTGAGCCACCCATATGCCCCTCACTAAGTTTATTCTAAACTATCCTCCAAAGTTATAGCTTTGCTTCCAACCCATCTCACTTTCATCTGTACCTCTTCCATGTCATGACCACAGAGAACATGTGACTTCTAAATCTACCTTTCCAGAACTTTACAACTACCTACTTAACTTCTCCACCTGTAAGTCTAATAACATCACTAATTTAACACATACAAGTCAGAACTTTTGATTTACCAACAATATCCAATTTATCAAGTCTTATTTCAACTTCTAAATTATATCTCAAATCCATTAGAACTTCTTTCCACCTTTACTGCCACTACCTTAAAGTCGCTTTCTTCCCCTGCATTATTGCAGTAGCTTTCTATTTAATTTTCTGCTGCTGCTCGTCTTAGTAAGCCAAAATGAGCCTTTAAAAACACAAATCAAGTCCTCCAAAGTTTTCCAACTGTACTTACAGTAAAACTCGAATCACATGGCTCTTCATAAATCTGGCCCTTGCCTACATTTCTGACCTTATATTAACTCTCCTATTTCATGCTTATAACAGGCTTTTCATTTATTCACCCTCCCTTCCTCAAGGTCTTCACCTTGGTGGCTCCTTCTCATATCATGTCCTTATAGCTAATACTGCTTCAACCCTGCACCCACCCTCTATTATTCTTCACTTGACTGCCCTGCTTTATTTTCTTCATGGCATTGATAAATATCCAAAATCATCTTATTTATTTTTATCTCTCATCCTAGAATGTAAGCTCTATGACAAGGTAAGGACCTTGTCTTTTTGTTGCTATCTTTCCAATGTCTTAGATCAAACATTTATTGAATGAATCAAAACCAAAAACAATATAGATTATGGAAATACAAAAAAATTGCCTTCAAAGTTCATTATTTTAAAAGACCAAAAAGAGATTATCTTCAGATTACCTATACCATAAATTGTAAGAATAAATTGGTGTTTTATTTCATGAAGTAAATGTACTTTAAGAAGGAAAATGTATGAAACATTTCTTCGATTACCATTTTACAAATAAAATATATCTTCCAGAGGCCTACTAAAAATTTATTTCTCTTATCAAACATTTTAAGTGAAAAAGTTTAAAATAAAAATTTAAGTCAACATTCCTACTATAGTTTTACAACAGAAATATTTCCCCAAATAACATCTGCATGTTAAACTTAAAAATGATTAACCGAAGACTAACAAAAATTTTAATACTGCTGAAAATTTGGTATAAAGACTACAAAAGTGAAGGTAACATATACTTACATTTGGTCCTTGGGTTTCCTGCAGCCATTTAAGAATGTGGGTCAAAGAGAAAGTTTTAAAATAATTAAATACAGTCTGTGTCTCAAACACATTAACTTAAGCAAATTAGTTATATTTGTACACAATTTGATACTGAAATAACTATTTTCTTAGTTATCTCAAATAGGCTGTTTTGTTGGAGTTCTCAGGTTTTTCAACTTATTTTTTTTTCTTTTTAAAAACATCTTTACTGATAACACATACCATACAATTCACCCATTTTAAGGGTACAGTTTAATATGTTTAGTATATCCACAGAGTTGTGCAATCTTCAACTTAATTTTTAAAATGAAGGTTTTTTTCATGTTTATATGTTGATTACAGAAAATCTAGAAAATACAGAAAAGCATATTAGAAGAAAAACTACTTCATCTACAGACAACCATATTCATATTTTGGTGTTATTTCCAGTATTTTTTCCTTATGCACAGTTTTTTTTAAATGGATTTTCTATTTTTAGGTTTTTTGCTTATGTATGTCATACCATAGAGTTTTGTTTTCAAGTTTTGCATTATATTTTTCATACATTATTGTAAACTTTTTAATAATAACCATTAAAATTTACTGAATGTCTGTTATTTACCAGGCATTCTACAGTATTAACTACTTAATACTTAGAGTGACCTCAGAGATTATTCCCATTTACCAATGAAAAATTGAGGTACTAAAAGGTTAAGTAACAACAGGTCTGAGGTTATACAAATGGTAAGTGGTAGAGCAAAAAACGTAACTGCATAACATTCTAATATTATGAGCCACAATTTACTCAACCATTTTTTTATTGTTAGACATTTAAGCTATTCCTAATATCTTACTATTATAAATAAAGCTATATGAGTATCTTTTCTCTTTTCTATTACTTTCTCTTTTCTTAGTATTTTTTTTTTTTAAGGGGAGAGGGGCAGAGGGAGAAAGTGAGACAGAATCTTAAGTAGGCTCTATGCCCAGTGCAGAGTCCAATGCAGGGCTCAATCTTATAACCCTGAGAGCATGACCTGAGCTGAAATCGAGTTGGATGCTTAATGGACTGAACCACCTATGCACCCCCCCCCCTTTCCTTTGTATTTTGTCCTTAGAATAAATTTCCAAGAATCAAAATCACTGTCAAGAGACATAACATTTTTTAAGGCTCCTGATACATATGGTAAAAATGCTTTCCCAAAGTATTAAACTGGTTTTCATAGCCAATAGTAATAAGAGTGCCTATTTGTTTTTACAATAGCCTCATAACTATAGTGTTTTATTTTTAAAATCTTTGGTAATGTTGCTTTAGCTTTGCATTTCTCTTATTACCAGCAACGTTGAATATTTCTTTATATCTGTGCATCACTTTCGTTTCTTCTTCTGGGAATAGTCTGACGTCATCTTGAAAGTTAAGTTAAGTACTGTTCTAAACCTCAACTGATGACTTAAATGTAAATGCATTTAAAACATGAGGGTTTCCTTAACAACAAACATTTGACTTATTAATATTAAAATCCAGCATAAGTTTTACAAGAAAAAGAAGTACAATTTATCTTTATTATACAGTAGAAGCATAATCCCTACATTGGTTTTTTAAAGGCATGAAATAATTTTTCACTGTGTCCTTGCTTCTTAAATATTTTCTCAACTGACAACTAAATTTAACTGGTTTAGAAAAGCTGGTTACTATCATTCCTTTTGATAACTAAATCTGTGAATAAATAAATAAAGGATTTCTAGGTATTACAAAAGGATATAATAAGGGTTTTCTAATAACAAAGAGGCCATTCGGGCTTCTTTAATCATAGGACGAGCCATTAGCGTTCGTCGTCTCCAGTAATGCTAAGGAAAGAAAAGATGACATACTTAAAGAATATAATAACCACATCTGTGTTACACACAATATGTTAACAAATTATGGATTAAGGTATCATAATAGAGTCTTACATGATCTCCCGTTCCAGCAAGATGAATGCATACAGGCTTATATTTGCTGTTCCATTCTTTAGGAACTATAAGTTGGAACCTATTTAAAACAAAACACATCAATGAAATTCTCTTTAACAGGTTTTTTTAACTAACTTTCAATTTGTAGAAGTTACATAATTAAATTATTTGGGAGAAAAGATCATTCAGATTTTTGACATTCAAATTATGATTGCACAAAGGCAACTAAGATATTATAAACTTGCTTTGTATTAGGATATTAAGATATTCAGTACAATATAAACGCAGAATTTATTGTAATCATTTTTACCTAGTTCAATACAAGTTTATCTTTTTATTTTTATTGAAGTTTGATTTGCCAACATATAGTATAACACCCAGAGCTCATCCCATCAAGTTCTGTTCTCAGTGCCTGTCACACAATTACCCCACCACCCTAGCCCACCTCCTCTTCTGCTACTCTTTGTTTGTTTCCCAGAGTTAGGAGTCTCTCATGTTTTGTCACACTCAATACCACAAATATGCTTTATAAATGGCACAAGGATATATTCTTATTTGGAAAGAAACCAATATATATAAGTAAGTTTTAGAAAACAGTTCTTTAGATAGCTCTGATTTTTCTCCTTGTAGGAATAATGCTTGCTGTTGTTGTATCAATAAAGTAGTTTGTCATCAATTTTGTTTTTAGGGCAGCCCGGGTGGCTCAGCAATTTAGTGCCGCCTTCGGCCCAGGGCATGATCCTCAAGACCCAGTATCGAGTCTCACGTCAGGCTCCCTGCATGGAGCCTGCTTCTCCCTCTGCCTGTGTCTCTGCCTCTCTCTCTCTGTGTCTCTCATGAATAAATAAATAAAAATCTTTTTAAAAAATTTGCTTTTCAATTTGGAGTGTAAGAGCAATCCATGGTAGAAAAAAAAGTTTTCCGGGATCCCTGGGTGGCGCAGCGGTTTGGCGCCTGCCTTTGGCCCAGGGCGCAATCCTGGAGACGCGGGATCAAGTCCCACGTCGGGCTCCCGGTGCATGGAGCCTGCTTCTCCCTCTGCCTGTGTCTCTCCCTCTCTCTCTCTCTCTCTGTGACTATCATAAATAAAATAAAATAAAATAAAAAATTTAAAAAAAAAGAAAAAAGTTTTCCCTACTTGTCATCTTCTTATTGTAGTATTTTGCCTTTCATTTGATGTTTTTTCCATATAGCCATTCTAACAGGTATGAGGTGATATTTAATTGTGGTTTTGCTTTTGGTATTTGGCATTTTGGGGTCTCTTTTTATGCTACATCATTTTCTTGATGATTAGTGATGTTCAGCACCTTTTCAGGTACTTGTTGACCATATGAATATCTTCTTTGGAAAAATGTCAAATTAGTTACTCTGTACATTTTTTAATCATTTGTTTTTCTGCTTTAAGTTGTATAAGTTTAGATATTTTGATACTAAACCCTTATCAGATATATGATTTGCAAATATTTTTTCCCATTTCATAGGTTGCCCTTTCCTTTTGTTGATAGTCTCCTTTGCTGTGCAGAAGCTTTTTTAGTTTGATGTAGGCCTAGTTGTTTATTTTTGCTTTTGTTGCCTTGCTTCGGGTGTCAGATCCAGAAAAAATTAAACTTCAAGACTTGATGTCAAGCCGGTGACTGCCTATGTTTTCTTCTAGGAGCTTTATAGTTTCAGCATTATGTTTAAGTCTTTACTCCATTTTGAATTAATTTTTGTTTAGTGCAAGATATTGGTCCAGTTTCATTTTTTGCCTACAGCTGTCCAGTCTTTCTAATACCATTTACTGAAGAGACTCTCCCCATTGTATATTCTTGGTTCTTTTGTCACAAATTAAGTGACCGTATATGGTGGATTTATATCTGGGCTCTCTATTCTCTTTCATTGATCAATGTGTCTCTTTTTATGCCGATTCCATACTCTTGATTACTATAGCTATATAGTATAAACATTTGAAATCAGGGAATATGATGCCTCCAGATTTGTTGTTCTTATTCAAGATTGCTTTGACTAGTCAGGTTTTTTTGTGGTTCCATACAAAATTTAAGATTATTTGTTGTATTTTTTTGAAAAATGCCATTGGAATTTTGATAGAGATTGCAATACATCTGTAGATTGCAAACATATGGATGTTTAAACAATATTAATTTTTCTAATCCATAAGCATGCAGTATGTTTCCATTTATTTGTATCATCTTCAATTTCTTTCATCAATGTCTTATAGTTTGCAGCATACTAATCTTTCACCTCTTTGGTTTAAATTTATCACTAGGCATTTTATTCTTCTTGATGCAATTGGAAATAGGATTGTTTTCTTAATTTTTCTTTCTGATGACTTGGTATTAGTGCATAGAGATGCAATTGATTTTCGTATATTCAGTTTGTATCCTGCAACTTTACTGAACTAATTATTAGTTCTAACAGTTTTTCGGTGGAGCCTTCAGGCTTCTCTATATATAATGTCATGTCATCTGTAAACAGAGACAGTTTTATCTCTTCCTTTCTGATTTAGATGTCTTTTTCTTGCCTAATTGCTCTGGCTAGGACTTCCACTATTCTGTTGAATTAAAGTGGTGACAGTGTGCATACTTGTCTCGTTCCTGATCTTAAAGGAAAAAAAATTTAGTTTCTCCAATGGAACATGATGTTAGCTATGAGCTTGTCATATATAGCCTTTATTATATTGACGTATGTTCCTTCTATACAGTTTGTTGAGAGTTTTTTATCGTAAATGGATGTTTTATTTGTCAAATGCTTTTCCTATTTCTATTGAGATCAACGTATGATTTTTATCCTTCATTTTGGTATAACACAGTGATCGATTTACAGATATTGAACCATCTTTGTATCCCTTGGATAAATTCCACTTAATCATGGGACATGATCCTTTTTGTGTATCGCTGAATTCGGATTGTTAGTATTTTGTTGGGGATTTTTACATCTATGTTCATTAGGAATATTGGCTTGTAATTTTCTTATGGCTTCCTTGTCTGGTTTTGGTATCAAGGTAACGTTGACCTTGTAAAATGAATTTAGAAGGCCCCTCCTCTTCAATTTTTTTGAAGAGTTTGAGGAGAGTCGTTATTAATTCTTCTTTAAATTTTTGGCAGAATTCATAAATGTAGCCATCTGGTCCTAGACTTGTTTTTTGTAGGAAATTTCTGATTACTGATTAAATCTCCTTTTGGTAATTGGTCTGTTCAGATTTTGTATTTCTTCATAATTAAGTCTTGGTAGGTTGTACTTTCTAGAAATTTATCCAATTCTTCTAAGTTGTCCAATTGGTTGTTGCATAATTGTTCACAGTAGTCTCTATGACTCTTTTATTTATGATATCAACTGTAATGGCTCCTTTTTCATTTCTAATTTTGAGACTTCTTTCTTTACTTCTTGGTTAGTGTAGATAAAAGTTTGTCCATTTTCTTTATCTTTTCAAAATCACAGCTCTTAGTTTCATTGTTCTATTATCTTTATAGTACTATTTCTTTCCTCTTTGATCTACACTAATTCCTTCCATTAACTTTGGGCTTAGTTTGTTCTTCTTTTAAGTTCCTATTATAAACTAAGTTGTTTATTTTTATAAAAGATCTTTCTTTTTTCTTAATGTCAGTGTTTACCACTATGAACCTCCCTCTCAGAACTGCTTTTGCTGTCCTGTGTAAGTTTGGGTATGTTGTATTTTCATTATCATTTGTCCCAAAGTATTTTTTGATTTCTCTTTTGATTCCTTCTTTGACCCATTGGTGTTTCAATAGCATATTGTTTACACATATTTTTGAGTTTTCCAGTTTTCTTCTTGTTCTAGTTTCATACCAGTGTGGTTGGAAAAGATGCTTGATATGATTTCAATTTCTTAAATTTATTAATATTTGTTTTGTGACTGATAATATGATCTACCCTGGTGAATACTCCCTGTGAATTTTAGAAGAATGTATATTCTGATGCTGTTGGATATGTTTTGTGAATGTTAAGTCCATCTGGTCTTTTTTTTTTTTTTAGTGAGTCTTTTTATTGTTGTGTGTGTTTTGGTTTTTTTTTTAATGATTTTATTTATTCATGAGACACAGAGAGAGAGCAGCAGAGACAAGGCAGAGGGAGAAGCAGGCTCCATGCAAGAAGCCGATGCAGGACTTGATCCCGGGTCTCCAGGATCAGGCCCTGGGCCGAAGGTGGCGCTAAACCGCTGAGCCACCCAGGCTGCCCTGTTGGTTTTTTTTTAATTGAAGATCCCTTACTGGTCCTGTTTCCATGAGTGCCAAGACCAGGAGAAAAGGGGAGGGGAACCAGGCGGCGCAAGGAAGGGTCATCTCCACAACATTCCATTTATACACAGAACTAAACAGACAAGCACAAAGTCACTATTGCAGTTAGAAGTTTGCAGCATGGGAAAAGGGAGGAACCGGTGGGGACTGGGGTGTCGTTAAAAAAAATACAGGCTCCTCCCCAAACTGAGGTGCCTAGGGGAACTTAGTCTGCTTCAACCCAAGAGGAATCAGAAGATCAAACGGGGTTTGGGAAAGCCAGAACCATCAGGGATAGAGGGAGGAGGAAGGTCCAGGGGGTGAGGGGGCTGTTTGGCAACTGGGGTGAAGAGATTGCCCTCCCCCTGCTGGGATCCCCCGAGTCCCTCTGGTCTGGCAGGAAAGGGGCAGCTGCAACCCCCATGGGCAGGTCTAGGGCTGCCAGATGCTCCAGGCAGGGGGCTGGAGGGGGCTCACAAAGGCTTGCCCTCTAGAGAGATGATGGTACTGCCCCCCAGTTTCTCTGCCAGGGTGCAGCGGTCCTTGACCTCCTCATCGCAGTTTGCTTGTAATTCATGCTTGATCCTGGTCAGCTTTTTTTATTGATGGCATCCTTGAAGCTGGCATAAATCATTTTGTTCTTAAGGGGTGCAGATTCAGATGCCCAGAAGATAAACACCAGGTCCTCCTTCTTGTTCTTCTTGGTCTATAGGTTGCATCATAGAGGGCATAGCAGCAGTCCTTGACTGGTAGCATCTTGACAAAGGTGGCGTAGGGGTTGTCTACATTCTGGCCCACATTACCTACCAGGATCTCCTTGCCCTCCTCAAGGATGATGTCCTTCTTGTCCTCACTCAGGCAGAAAAGTACTGCCTTCTTGTGCTTCTTCACCTCCTCTGGTGTTGAAGACTTCTGTACCTTCATGTCATTGAACACTTTGATGACACCGTCAGAAACGGCCATGCCCAGAGGCTATGTTTCCAGAAGCAAAAGGGAGATAGCAAAAAGGGCCAGAAATGATGAGAGCCACTGCAGCTGCTGCTAGGATCCGACTGAACCAGGTCCATCTGGTCTAATGGATAGCTTGAATCCTATATTTTCTTACTGATTTTCGGTTTGGATTATCTATCTATTGTTGCATGTCAGGTATCAAAGCTCCCTAGTATGAATTGCTGCCTTCAAGTTTGTTAATTTTTATATATATATATTTCACTCCTATATTGAGTGCATAAATATTTACAAATGTTATTATATTCCCATTAGATTGATCCCTTTACCATTATATCATGACCTTCTTTGTCCCTTATCCAATCTTTGTCTTAGAGTCTATTTTGTATGATATATAGCTACTTCTACTTTCTTTTGATATTCATTTGCATGGAATATCTTTTTCCATCCCGTTCAGTCTATGTATGTCCTTATATCTGAAGTCTCTTTTTTGTTTAACAGGTTTTTTTTTTAGTTTATTTACTATGTAAGTTATCTCTGCACCCAACATAGGGCTCAAACGCATGACCCTGAGATCAAGAGTCACACGCTCTTCCAACTAAGTCAGCCAGACGCTCCTGCAAGCGCTAAGTGTCTTATAGGCAGCATATAGTTGGGTCCTGTGTTTTTAAGATTTTCTTTATTTATTTGAGAGAGAGAGAGAGAGAGAGAGAGAGAGCGCGCGCGCACAAGTAGGGGGAGGGGCAGAGGGAGAAGGAGAAGCAGACTCCCTGCTAAGCAGGGAGCAGGACATGGAGCTGGATCCCAGGATGCTGGGATCACGACCTGAGCTGAATGGGCAGACGCTTAACCAACTGAGCCACTCAGGCACCCCAGGTACTGTTTTTTAATCCATTCAGCTGGTCTGTCTTTTGATTAAAGAGTTTAGTTGATTTACATTTAAAGTGATTATTGATAGATACAAATTTATTATTGCCATTTTGTTTATTGTTTTCTGGCTATTTTATTATTCTTTTTGTCTTTTGTTTATCCAATAGGTTTTAGCTTTGTGGTTCTATCAGGCTTATATAAATCATTTTGTATTTATAACAGCCTATTTTAAGTTGATAACAACTTAAGTTTGAATATATACTAAAGCTCTCTATATTTTTATTCTGCCCCACCCCACATTTAATGGGAATAATGCCAAATAATGACTGTAATTAATACTAAGCAATTAAAAATAACATGGAAATGATTTTCTTATAATTGTAAATTAAAAAAAAACTTACTACTTTAAGTTTCTGGATAAAAATTCTTACCTTGCAATAACAGATTCAATTGGCATTATATCAGGCACATAGTGGGCCATGGGGGAAACAAAGTGTCCATCTAGGATCTTACAATCTGATTGCTCTTCAATCTAAAAAAAAAAGCAAAAGCAAAACCAAAATGTAGACATGTAAACTAGGATATCTTGGTCTGTCATACATGTTTTCCTATAAAAAAGTTCTATTCAATTAAAAACTTTGACTACATATTCTTTCTCCCCCAGTTTTTTTTTTTTAAGATTTATTCATTTTAGAGAGAAAGCAAGCAAGCTCAGTGGGCAGGGGCAGAGGGAGAGGGAGAGAGTCTTAAGCCGACTTCGCACTGAGCATAGAGTCCAATGTGGGGCTTTGATCTCATGACCCTGGGATCATGACCTGAGCCTAAACCGAGTCTGACACTTACCTGCCCGAACTATCCATGCATCACCCCCCAACTCAGCTTTCTAAAGACATAGATCGGGTGGCTCTGGGGTTTAGCACCGCCTTCAGCCCAGGGCATGATCCTGGAGATGTGGGATCAAGTCCCCACGTCAGGCTCCCTGCATGGATCCTGCTTCTCCCTCTGCCTGTGTCTCTGCCTCCCTCCCTCTGTGTGTGTGTGTGTGTGTGTGTGTCTCATGCATAAATAAACAAAATCTTTTAAAAAAATAAAAATATATGGTTCAGGACACCTGGGTGGCTCAGCAGTTGAGCATCTACCTTTGGCTCAGGGCGGGATCCCAGTCCTGGGATTGAGTCCCGCATTGGGCTCCCTGCAAGGAGTCTGCTTCTCACTCTGTCTTTATCTCTGCCTCTCTCTCTGTGTCTTTCATGAATAAATAAATAAAATCTTAAAAAAAAAAAAAGACATGGCTCTTACACATTTCCTTTCCTTTTACATCCTTTACTATAGCATAGTTGGAAAAGTAAACTATAAATAAACCTCATTTGTACAACAGCACGAAATAAGTCAAAATAAATCAAAATAAAATACTAGTTGGAAGAATTTAAAAATATAAAAATAAACATGAGAACAATTTACAAATAAACTGTAAAAATAATTTACTGCAATCAAATAAGGGTTGACTTGATGTCAAATATGTTAGAATGGCTCATTTTAAGCAATCCATTGATGCAATGAGTCATGTAAACACATTAAATAAGAATATATATTTACATACATAGCAAAGGCATTTGTTAATATTTAACACCTAAACTTCCCCTCCTCAAATAGTTATACTTTAAAAGATTTATTTATTTATTTCAGAGATTCAGAGAGTGTGTGTGCACACGTGCACATGAGGAGGGGCAGAGGGAAAGAATCTCAAAGACTCCCTGCTGAGCACAGAGCCTTACCTAGGGCTCTACCTCACAACCCATGAGATCACAACCCAAGCAGAAACCAGGAGTCAGACATTTAACTGACTGAGCCACCCAGGTGCCCCTCAAATAGTTATTTTTTTAAGTAAAAATTTTTATCAGGACAATAGTCAAAATTAAATTAGCAGTAAATACTACATATTTTCATTAAAATTGGAAACAAAAAACTTTATGAGCTTATTTTAAAACATAGCTTATTTTAAAACACAGATTCTAGCCAGCAGTGTCAATATTTTTTATTAAATAATCCATTTTTTTGCAAATGACTTAAAATGCTTTTTTCTTTAAAAAAAAAAGATTTTATTTTTTCATGAGAGACAGAAAGAGAAAGAGAGAGACAGACAGGCAGAGGGAGAAGCAGGCTCCATTCAGGGAGCCTGATGCAGGACTCGATCCTGAGGCTCCAGGATCATGCCCTGGGCCAAAGGCAGGCACTAAACCCCTGAGCCACCCTGGGAATCCCTTAAAATGCTACTTTATCATGAAGTGAGTTTTAATAAATTTTGGCAAATCATTTTCAATCCTTTACTGGTTCGTATTAGCCTATCTTCTTTTTCCCCATTTTTAAACAAGTTTCTTTTAGTTTCCAAGTTTTAATTTAAATTTTAGCCAGTTAACATACAGTGCAATATTAGTTTCAAATGTAGAATTTAGTGATTCATCACTTACCATACAACACCCAGTGCTCATCACAAGTGCCCTCCTTAATATCCATCACCTGTTTCACCCATTCCACTACCTGCCTCTCCTCTAGTACCATCAATTTGTTCTCTACAGTTAAGAGTCTGTTTCTTTGCCTCCCTCTCTTTTTTTTCCCCTTTGTTCCTTTGTTTTGTTTCTTAAATTCTACATGAGTAAAATCATATGGTATCTGTTTTTCTCTGACTTATTTCACTTAGCATAATACTTTTTATTTAGCTCCATCTATGTTGTTGCAAATGCTAAGATTACATTCTTTTTGATTGCTGAATAACATTCCATTGTATATATACACCAGTTAGTCAAAAAGGAGAAACCCAAATGCCCCTCAGCTGATAAATGGATAAACAAGATGTCACATATCTATACAATGGAATATTATTTAACAATAAAAAAGTGGGATCCCTGGGTGGCGCAGCGGTTTGGCGCCTGCCTTTGGCCCAGGGCACGATCCTGGAGACCTGGGATCGAATCCCACATCAGGCTCCCGGTGCATGGAGCGTGCTTCTCCCTCTGCCTGTGTCTCTGCCTCTCTCTCTCTCTCTCTCTGTGACTATCATAAATTAAAAAAAAAAAAAAAGTGAAGTACTGTTAGATAACATGGATGAAAACTGAAAATTTGCTAAGTGAAATAAACCAGATCCAAAGGTCTTTTACTATATAATTCCATATGCAATGTCTAGAATAGGTGAATTCATAGAGATAGCAGATTAATGGCTGCCAGAAGGTAGGAAGCTGTGTGGAAGGGGGAAGTAACAGCTAATGTTATATGGGTATATGGTTTCTTTTTGGTGAGATAAAAATATTCTGGAATTAGGTAATGATAGTGGTGAGGACTGCACATCTTGGGAATGTAGTAATAAAAAACAACACTGAATTGCACACTTTAAAAGGGTGAATTTCATGGCAGGTGATTTATATCGGTTTTTAAAAACCAAGAGAGACAGTGATTGGGAGAATAGAGAGAGGAAGGAACTCTCTAAGAATGCATTCCAAAATCTTAAAGTAACTCTTCCTTCCTTGGGAGAGAAATGGAATTAGGTGGTGGAACGTGGCAGAAAGTTCGAGAGTTTTGATTTTTTACTAGGTATACTTTTAATTTGTTTAAGTCTATGATTTTTTTAAAAAAGATTTTATTTATTCATGAGAGACATAGAGAGAGAGACAGAGGCAGAGACATAGGCAGAGGGAGAAGCAGTCCCACAAGGAGCCCGATGTGGGACTCAATCCCAGATCTCAGGATTAGAACCTGAGCCGAAGGCAGACACTCAACCGCTGAGCCATCCAGGCGTCCCAAGTCTATGATTTTTAATAGAAAAAAAAAAAAAAAACCAGAAAATAGAAATATTTAGCAAAATTGAGGGAGAAATGTTCTAAATCCAGAAGCTACAAAAAGAAGAGCTATATGGTATAGACAAGGGATTTCTAATTTATAAAATTTTGTTTTTAGCAGTGGAACTATTTTGAAAAATGAAATCTTCTAAAGATATGCAATACATAAAAGAGATGAAACTAGAGTTACGTAGGTTAAAGGGCAATAAGGGATGTGAAGCCCAGGCATTTTTATCCCCTCCCCAACAATACCTCAATTATTCAATTATATAGACCTAGAACTGCTTTACAGAAAAACATATGGTTGCTAAAAAAACAAAACTATTTCAAATATATTTTCTCATCTTCTCTAATGATAAGCCGTTTTCTTTTTCTAAGATTTTTATTTATTTATTCATGAGAGACAGAGAGAGAGAGGCACAGGCAGAGGGAGAAGTAGGCTCCATGCAGGGAGCTTGACACAGCCGACATGGAACTCGATCCCTGGACTCCAGGATCATGCCCTGGGCCTAAAGCAGGCGCTAAACCACTGAGCCACCCAGGAGTCCCTAGCATTTTCTTTCTATCCTTCTCTCAACAATTAACTACATAACGTTTCCCTGATGTTATTTATTTTTTTTTAAATTCTTATTTATTCATGATAGTCACACACAGAGAGAGAGAGAGGCAGAGACACAGGCAGAGGGAGAGGGAGAAGCAGGCTCCATGCACCAGGAGCCCGATGTGGGACTCGATCCCGGGTCCCCAGGATCGCGCCCTGGGCCAAAGGCAGGCACCAAACTGCTGCGCCACCCAGGGATCCCTCCCTGATGTTATTTAAAAGCTGTTTTGGTAACAACTTCTCATGCGCGGATTCTCCAACTAGAATACTTCCCTGCATTACTTAGAATTCTTATGAAATGTTGAATAATTTATTTTAACCCTCCTGATCCTAAAGATACAAAACGAGGCTCAAAAACATTGAGACTTATCGCTTCTCAGCCTTTTGGTTAAGATCAAGTGAAACAGATCAAGACTTAAATATTTTCGTGTATATATATATATATATATATATATATATATATATATATATATATATTTTTTAAGGTTTATTTATTAATGAGAGACAGAAAGAGAGAGAGAGAGAGAGAGAAAGAGAGAGGCAGAGACACAGGCAGATGGAGAAGGAGGCTCCATGCAGGAAACCTGACGTGGGACTTGATTCCGGGACTCCAGGATCATGCCCTGGGCTGAAGGCAGGCGCTAAACTGCTGAGCCACCCAGGCTGCCCAATATATTTTCCTATATTTAGGCAAGTACCAAATATATGCTCTCAAATATACATGAATGAAAATTATAATAAGCAACCTTTTAGGATAATATGGTATTTATTTTAATAATATTAAATTAAAAATCTATGTTGTACTCATGTTTTGTTTACTGTTATTATACTCCAACATTCAGCCTACTCTTTTTTTTCTTTAAGATTTTATTTATTTATTCATGAGAAACACAAGAGACAGAGGCAGAGACACAGGCAGAGGGAGAAGCAGGCTCCCCGCAGGGAGCCCGATGCAGAACTCGAACCTGGATCATGGGATCAGGACCTAAGCCGAAGGCAGACACTCAACGGCTGAGCCATCCAGGCGTCCCCATTCAGCCTACTCTTAATACATATTTATATTAAACCAGAATCTGTAACTTCATTTCTCTCATTTGAATACCTTATCAATGTGTACTGGATAATCACTTGAAACCAGATTCTGACATCTTTCTCGATTTCCAATCATCTTTCTGAATTCGAAGAGTCTATTATGATAAGCAGGAAAAAAAAAGAAAAAATTCATTATGCCCACTGTACTGAAAATGATGTATAATGCTGAAAAATTTGCAAGTCCAGTTCATAAGCTATGTCAAAATTTAATTTGAATCATTAGAGGAAAAAGATGAATCTACTGGTTTTTATTCAAGTTGGACATTTTGCCTCATAAAATATGTGAGAAATATCATTATTTAAAAAAATAATTAACAAAAAAAATCATTAATTTTAAAAAATAGTTAACAAAAAGCAATTAACATATACAAGACTCATAATTAAAGGGATAAATCCTGAAGATTCACTTTCTTAAGTCCAGATATTTCCTTCCATGAGCTATGGTGTATCTCAGCTTTAACGTCATAACAAATTCAAGTTACCTGAGGAAGCTAAGTCCCTGGAACGCTAAGCAACTTAAAAATAATTAAAGTTAAAAATCTAGTTTGTATTTAGGAGCTCTTTATTTTTAATTTTAAAATAGTTCAACAGTTCGATTTATGATTATATGGTTTAAAACAGGAAATAATTAAAAAGACAAAAGGAAATAATTACATTTTATATACTTTTAATGCTTAATTTGTCATTTTATATTTATAGTAAAGAATTTTATCACTAAAATTTTTTTAAATGTTTACGAAAACAAATTTAGAATAAGCATTTGGAAAAAAAAAAAACAACTTACCTTTTGAGATCTTCTGGCCTACCCCATCCTCTGATAAAAAGTTTTGTGAGGAGAAGTCTTCGATATAGAATATCTAACTTGCTCACACCCATTAGTAGCAAACAAACATCTATGAAACAAGATTTAAAATGACTTTAAAATATTTTATTTTAGGCAGGTGGTCAATTTCCTAACCATCTCTTTAAATATCAGGTGAAAATTAAAGATTGATCTACTTTTTTTAACTTTCAAATATACAAATATGTATTTTTAACTATAGTTACCATGCTATACATTACATCCTCAGAACTATTCACCTTATAGATCTTAAAAGTAGTCATCACAAGAAAAAAATGTGTAGCTATGTTAGGTGATGGATGTTAAACTTACCACATTAATCATTTCACAATATATACAAATATCAAATAATTTGCTATCAACTTTAATATAATGTTATATATTAATTAAATGTCAATAAAACTGGGAAATAAGTTAGACTAAGATTAAACTATATATCTTGAATTTAGTCTCTTGGATATAAGACACACGAAAAAAGAACTGGGATGAAAGTAGAAACATAAACTCTGTATTCCTTTAGGGCAGGATTCCATTCTCAGCACAGTAATAGTAAACGCTCTCTCTATATATATTAAGATTTTATTTGAGAGCAAGAGCAAGTAAGAGAGAGAGAGAGAAATGGAGCACAAGTGGGGGGGGTGAAGGAAGGGAGAGAGAGAGAGGGAGAAGCAGGCTCCCCACTACAATTGGATAACAATTGTAGTGACTCTTACCTACTGCCAAGCACCATTTTGTACAACTACAAACACACATACACACATTTTTTTTTTTTACATACACACATTCTTGTTTAAATCTCTCAGCAACTTTATGAGAAAATAAGTGATTTACCTAAGGTCACACAGCTAGTGGTAGGCGGAGCTAAAACTGAATCCCAGGCACACAGTGAGATCTAACTATTCTACACTGCCTGTCTACTACACTATAGTGCATGAAAAGTAATAATCAGTGCTACTACATTGTACTATTTTTCAATTTTACCAAATATTTCTTAAATATATATTTTTTTAATTTTATTTTTTAAAAATACCTGCCTCTGTCTTTTGAAAATGAATGGTATAGTTTTGACTTGTGGACAAAACCTGATTTATTCTACTTAGAAACATGGAAAATGGAAATGTGCATTTTCACCAGTGAACATTAGTACTTCTTTATCATTTTGAATATTTTTATGGAACTATCCCTATGCTTTATACTTCTCTTTGATTTGTAACAAAATTAACTTAATGCTCCTCTTTGTTTACATAAGTATATAATCAAACCCAACTGGGCTGGCACTTGTTTTTGTGACTGGACCAGCATAAAACAAATCATTCATATTGCCTCTCACAATTCTCAGGACCAAGAACAAATATTTACTAGATAATATACTTGTTAAGCAATATAATCTAAAGACAGAATAAAGTATTTTTTAATACCACCCAACTCTTTTTTTCACAATTTCCATGTGTTATTCAATTCTTTTTTTTTTTTTAAGATTTTATTTGTTCATGAGAGAGAGAGAGAGAAGCAGAGACATACGCAAGGGATAATCAGGCTCCCTACAGGGAGCCCAATGTGAAACTCGATCCCAGGACCTCAGGGATCACACTCTCAGCCAAAGGCAGATGCTCAACCATTGAGCCACCCAGGTGTCCCTCAATTTTTATTCTTGATAAAAATTTGGTTCTGGCATAATAATGCATATCCAGCTTTATTATACTACTTCTATCTACCACCATAAATAAACTAGGATTCTGATTACTAGGGATCCCTGGGTGGCACAGCGGTTTGGCGCCTGCCTTTGGCCCAGGGCGCGATCCTGGAGACCTGGGATCGAATCCCACATCAGGCTCCCGGTGCATGAAGCCTGCTTCTCCCTCTGCCTGTGTCTCTGCCTCTCTCTCTCTCTCTCTGTGACTATCATAAATAAAAAAAAAAAAAAAATTAAAAAAAAAAAAAAGGATTCTGATTACTAGACTCCAATGAATTATCATCAATTAGTTCCCCAAAGCTAAACCATTCTAGGACAGTGTAACACAAATACGTTTCTGAACTTTTAAGAATATGACTTTTTTTCATTTAGGCAACAAGTATTTATTTATTAAATACTTATAATATCCCAAGAATTATATTAGGCCCCAATATAAGAAGATCAAGGCACATTCTTCCTCTCACAGATCTTATTTTTAATGAAGTAAAACAATTTTTTAAAAATTAAGCAAAAAATAGACAGATGATGACAACACTATAATAATATAACAAGACAGTGTGATAAAGACCAGAAGGCTCTTTTGATAGTCAAAAAAAGTTCCACTTAACCAAAGACATAATATTTAAGCCAAGACCTACATAACAATATGATGTCGACAGACAAGACTTTAAACTGCAAATATCATTAAAATCATATCCTTCCTGAAGTCTACTCATGGACAATGTTTCAATGAAGTCTGTAAAAACTATCTAGTCGGTAGGTAAAGGCAAAGCACAGGAACAAATAATTTATGTAAGAGGAAAGGCAAGAGAAAATGATCACACAGTCTCTTCTTTATTTGCTAATTCAAAGATGCTCATTGTAACATTTTTATTTTTTTCATTGTAACATTTTTAAATTCAAAGTAGACATAGTGAAAAAGGGAAGAATGGTCTTGTTTCTATTACCTCCAATTCTACTTTTCAGAGCTATTTAGTGCTAACATTTTGGAATATTTTCTCTTTGACATTATTTACTACCTACACAAACTTTAAAAACACTAGTTACATTACATATTTTTAATAGATTTTATTTATTTATTTATTTATTTATTTATTTATTTAAGAGAGAGAGAGAGAGAGGGGGGGGGGGGCAGGCAGACACAGGCAGTGAGAGAAGCAGGCTCCATGCAGGGAGCCCAATGTGGGACTTGATCCCGGGTCTCCAGGATCACACCCTGGGCCAAAAGCGGTGCTAAACCACTGAGCCACCTGGGCTACCCATATTATATATTTTTGACAGGATTCAAACAACATAAAAATATACATAAGAGGGGTGACTGGGTGGCTCAGTTTGTTGAGTGTCTAACTAACTCTTGGTTTCAGCTTAGGTCATGATCTTGAAGTCGTGGAATCCAGCCCTGCAACTAGCTCTATGCTCAGGGCAGTCTGCTTAAGATTCTTTCTTTCTCTCTCTCTCTCCCTCCCTCCTCCCCCCCCCCCCCTTAGAGCATTCTCTCTCTCTCTCTCTCTCTCTCAAAAAAAGTCTTTAAAATACACACACACACACACACACACACACACACACAAAGCTGAGAAGTCTCTCTTCTTTACTTCTAAGTTTCCTCTCCTTCCAAAAGGTAACCATTGTATTTAATGCTGTATACCTGTGACTCCTATCCATTTATACACGTACACATATTTTAGGAGTTTTTGGTGTGTTTGTTTTTAAACACAAAAGAGACTAACAACATTATTTGTCTTTTTCCAATGTTGTTCCTCACCCTGCTGATTTATAGGACTGCCTCATTTTTTTATATTAGTAGGTGAGTTTAGCCCATTTATATTTATTATTGTGATACTTTTTGGATTTAGTTGTTATTAAAAAATTATTCACATTTAATTGTTTTGCAGTTGAGTGTATATAAATTAGAAAGAGTTGTGTTTAAGGTTCAATATGTCATAATGGCTTAAGAGCATGAACTCTTTTCTGGGTTGAACCCTCTACCATGTGACTTTGAACAAATCAGTTATCCTTTTTGTGAATCATCTGTAAAATGGGGAATAATGATAGTACTTACCCTTTAGGAATGGTTTGAGAAGTAAATGGGTTACTATTTATGAAGCATTTTAATAGTACTTCGCAAATTTAAGTGCTATATCTATGACTAATGGCAACGATATTACTGGTTATCCTTATTGTGGGGCCTCCCAATCAGATAGCGGGGCCACCAAATATGGGGTGATATATTCAGATGGATGCCAGTAGCGCAGATAGTGAAAGAATTCATCCAAGCAGAACAACAGAGATAGAAGTTTACTAAATACACGCAAGGAAGTGGCCAGGGGACAGCAAAGACTGTATCAGAAGTCAGTGGTGGGATGCCACAGTTTGAAGGCAGAGTGAGGGAGTATGGGGACTTATGGAATCTTTCCTTTTTTGGTAGTCTTAGGAAAATTACCTTAGGTAATCAAGTGTGGGGTGGGGTGGGGTAGGGTGGGGTGGGGGAGGGAGAAGGAGAGAGAGAATCTCAAGGAGATTCCCCACTAAGTGTGAAGCCCCATTCAGGGCCTGATCCCATGAGCCTAAGATCATGGCCTGAACAGAAATCAAGAGTGGGACGCTTAACTGACTGAGCCACCCAGATGCCCCAACTAATACCTACTTTTTAAATCTAGAAATCTATAAACTTAGATCTAGTTCTAAAACCTATATCCCATTTTTAAAACCCTTTCAAGCAGCTCTTACAAGTGTTGTTTTGGTGCTTAAATGTGTACAATGAGTTTCCCATGTATATCCCATTTATGATTATCATAACTTATGAAATATCCTTTTTGTAATGTAACCAATAGTGTGTTCAATCCATGTATTAATTTAGTAACACTTGTTTTATTTTAGCCTTTCCACCCAGAGTTTTATTTGCTCCATCAATATTTTATTCTATCCTTTATGTATTTTTATGAAACATGACTAACAAATTATTATTTGTGATAAGTATTATGAATAGGATTCCTTTTTCCGTATACTTTCTCTTGAGATGAATATTACTATTTCATAAGAAAACAGTTTATTCTAGATTTTTCCCTTCAATCCCACAATTTTTGTATTAGAATTGCATTCCAGGAACGCCTGGGTGGCTCAGGAGTTGAGCGTCATTTTTTTCCTTAAAAAGCAGGTTTATAAAAATCCTTAGGATAGTAGATTAAGAAATGTAACCCTGGAATTTGATAACACGCATGGAACTTTTTTCACTTTATACTTGTGATCTTGGGTTTCTGATATGGCCTTACTTGTAAGAGAAATTGAAGAGATAGCACGGTATGGTGGAGAGATGCATATTCCATCACAGAGGAATAAAGCTTCCCTAAGTATTTGATACA